ACCACAACTTGTTCAGCCATTCCCCAATTGATGGGCATCTCTTCAATTTCCAATACTTTGCTACCACAAAAAGAGCTGCTACAGATACTTTCATACATGCAGGTTCTTTTTTCTTTGATGTCTTTGGGATACAGACCTAGTAGTAGTAAAGATTCCTTTTTTAAAATTATTGATTATTTTTTTTTTTAATTCACCACTTACTTGGGAAAATAAAGTACAGTCCTTAGTACTCTCCTCCAGCAAAGTCTATCTCACATGCACATACAGAGATCATACAAATTTCCTTGATAGATGGATGCAATTATAGAGGTAACTTTGTTCATTAACTCTCAAACAAGGAATAGAGCAGAAATCAAATGAGATATTTGTAAAATGTTTAGCATAGTCCCTAGTACATTGTAGGCACTTAACATTTACTCCATTCCATTCCATGTATATACACCTATTAAAGATGTTTGCCTCTGTCATGGAGGATGTCCTAAATGGACTTCAGATAGGTAAGAGATCCACCTTAGATCAGTGGTGTCAAATTCAAATAGAAAGGGATCTCTGCACACCATAGATTGACTTAGAAAATTACTAATTAGTATTATCTATGTTATATAATATTCTTTTTTATTTTTAAACATTTCCCAATTATATTCTGGTTCAGGCTGCACTAGGGAGTTTTACTGCACTAGGAAGTTTGATGTGACTTTGACACTGTTGCTTCTAAAGGAATGATGTTCTAATTGCATCACACCTAGAGTGCTATAGCATCTCCCTATTGAAATTCAAGGCTATTCAAAAGAGACCAATCTAATATTCCATAAGGGAGATACAAAATGAATGAAGAAGGCCTATTGTCTAGGTCATGACGGCAATCACAAAACCACAAAACTATCTTGGACAAACACTATCTGTGGATGATGAAATGGGTCCAGAATTAAATAGGAGGATAAAAGGTGGTTGGATTGCATTTAGGAAATTGCCCAATGCTATCAGCAATCCTAAACCATTCCAATAGCCAGGCCTACCTTTTTTAAACACCAGTATCCTTCAAGTTATGCTATATGGCTACAAACGATGAGTCTCCAAAGAGTCGAAATCATAGTTGTCCCAAAGGAACAGATACATGGTGGATTTAAGGCTGAAGTATATTGCCAGTGTTTCATGAAAGAAATGATGTAGATAAAAGAGATTATCTAGGAAATTTCTGATTGTAAGAGGAGTTGAATAGCCAAAATGCTACATGGTACCCCCAGAATATCAGAAGACCTAGAGAAATGCCTCCAGCATGTTGACTACATAGATCATTTATTGGTGATCTTTGGAAAGGCATGGGCAAGAGTTGCACAGAATGAGAAGACATGAGTATGCTATCTTTTATATCTTCAGTCAGTACCCATATCGTTGAGATCACAATTCCATTAAACTGTTTAATTTTTATCTGTGTAATACAGAAGGAGTTATTTAATTTTTTAATTAAAATGGTGGAAGGGATGACTGTTCTTTTTCCTAAGACCTTGTAGTTTTCAGCAGTCTGGAAAATGATAGGATATAATGGACCCTCTGTTTCAGGCACAGCGTCAGAAGCACTCTTTAAGGAAAAACAAAGAACAATCGTACAAAATAGTGATTGGCACCAAAAATAACTGTTCCTTCTTACTGAGCAAAATAAGGAAAGATTTTAATGTACTTTAACTGTTTGTGCTTTTTAAAAGGAAGATATTTACGTATATGAGGAATAACTTTTACTGGACTGATTAGAAATAGTTTAACTTATATAAATCATTTGGCAAACTTATATAACCAATACCTTGGAAATTTTTTCCAAAAATAGTATAGAAATCCTTGTGGATATTTTCTCTTTTAAAATGCATTTATCACGACCTCTAGCTTATCTACTTATCCGGTTATCACTAGCTCAACCTCTACTTTTGAAAATATCACTATTAGTAAGCATTTAATTTTAAGTGGTATCATTTTTTAAAATTTTTTGTATTTTCCTTTTTTTCCCAAAACATCTGAAATTTTTCATGCTTTTCTTTATTCAGAATAATTTTATAGAATGTTATAGAAAACTTTATAAAAAACAAAACAAAATAGTTGCCACTACATGAATATAAAGCTCTAGTTACTTTTCTCTGAGGGCTCATGATTCAAAGCCACATTTTTTTTTTTAAGGCAGTTGGGGTTAAGTGACTTGCCCAGGGTCACACAGCTAGTAAGTGTCAAGTGTTTGGTCTGAGGCTGGATTTGAACTCAGGTCCTCCTGACTTCAGGGCCAGTGCTGTATCCACTGTGCCACCTAACTGCCCCTAAAGCCACACTTTTAATAACTACTTATTATATATCTAAATGGTCAAGAAAGATGGAATACAACAATCCATTGGTGAGAATTCCTCTTGTACATTAACTGAATCCCTGTGAATGTTAACTAAGAAATAGGTTACTCTTGTAGTAAAAGTAAGAGCCCAATTAATACCTATTTATCAAAACTCCACATTAGAGATGTGAGGGAGCAAGTTTGTTTGTTAAAAATATAGTGAGTGGAGTCTATCATTTTCATCTTTTTTTTTTTAGAGGAAAATAAACTATTTCCAAAGGAACTTAGCAAGAAGGAACAATTCTTTCTTGTTTGCCTTTAGTCCTTTATCAAGAGTGTGGAGGATTATTGGGTAATGACCTTGTTGTTAACTTTTGAAACAAGTAGACTAGTCAGGAAGCAGTGTGGTCCAATGGGAAATTCACCAGCTGCGGAGTCACTGGACCTCCTGGGTTCAAGTTTCACCTCTGATGCTTGCTTACTACCTGATATACCCTGAGGAAGTCACATAATTTCCCTGGGCCTCAATTTGCTCATCTGTAAAAATGAAGGGGTTGATCCAGGTGGTTTCTGGATCTAGAGTTATGATTCCCTTTGCCCCTTCCACTATGATTCTTAATTTTAAAACATTGATCCATCCCTCTCATTGAAGGGAATGTTTGACCAAGTAGTCCTTGCCATAAATTCCATGACTTATGATTGACACTTATGCCTTTGGAGTTTCTTTACTCTTTCAAAGTAGATTTGTAGAGTAGTTGGAGGCCTGGAGGTTTTCACTAAATTAGTTTTCAAAATGTATAGGTATAACTGGTTTGCTGTTATTCCTAAAGACTGGTGCACGTATGTATGTGTTCATTAGACTGAGAGTGAAGATTTGGTCTAGTTCTGGCCCTCCCATGAACTGCATGTGTGCCCTTGGGCAAGTCACATTACTTCTGCATCTCAGTTGCCTCGTACGTAAAAAAGAAGAAAATGGGGGGGATGATTTAAATCAACGAATGAATAAAAAAAGCATTTAGTTAGTGCTTGCTATGTAAAAAGCACTTTGCTAAGTGCAGGGGATACAAATAGAAAAGTAAGATAGTTCTTGTTTTCTGGATGATCTTTGTTTATTTTTTAAAATAAAATGTTTTACTGATTTCCCTGCCCCCCATTTTTGATATTGCTGCCATTTCCCCAATGACTTTTCCCCACTAGAATCCTCCCTTGTAACAAAGACAGATTATCTTTAAAGACCCTTGCAGCTTTAAAATTCTTTGAGTGTGTTTATGAGGGCTATGTGTAGTTAACTATCCCCTAAAATGTGAGATGAGAGAGCTTACCCTAAATTAATCTAAAATGCAGACAATTGGAACTGTGAAGTAGTTAATGGAAACTTTGCCTTTAATATATGTTCAAATACTTGTTTCAGTAACTGCTTATGGACCACATGTATTATTAAGTGGAGCTAAGATACATCACCCCTCATCATCTTTCATTTCTGCTTAATGCTGCTAGGGAGGGGCAGTGAAAAAAGGACCAAGACCAGAAGGTTCCTGAGGCCACTTATGCCAAAGCTGCTGAGGTTTATTCTGCCATTAGGATTTTCCTTGTGTAGATAGAAACTCCCATGAATAGCTTGGGACTTTCCTTATACCCCACCCCCATTTCTCCTTCCCTTTTCCCACCTCCCCTTCCCTTTCCTTCCCTCCCCTTGCTCCCTCTTCTCTTTTCTTATCATCATCATCACCATCATCATTTATTAAGTATTTAACTATGTGCAAAGTGCTGTGCTAACTACTACAGAGAAAGGAACAAACATAGTCCCTGTCCTCAAGGAGCTCCCATTCTAGTAGGGGAGACAACATGCAAACTATACACACACATACACACATGTGTATGTATTTAATGTAAATAGGAGCCAGTCTCAGTGGAGAGACAATAGCGGTGGAGGTGGGGAGGAGAAATAGAAGAGGGTTTAGGGAACCTTCTGTGTGTGATTTGAGCTCAATCTTGAAAGAATCTAGGAGGGAGAACATTTCAAGCATGGGGGAGAGACAGTGAACAGGCCCAGTTCAGAGAGGGAGTGTTGTCCTTTCTTCCCTTTCCTTTTTTACTCTTCCCTTTCCTTTTCTTCCCTCCATTTCCCCTTCTGCCTCTTTCCTCCGCCTTTCCCTTGACTTTCTTCCTATCTTTTTCCCCATCCCATTTCCTCCGCTCTTCTTTCCTTTCCATTTATTTTCCTACTCCTTTTCCATTCTTCTATTTTCCTTTCTCCCCACCCCCATCTTTTCACTCATATCCTCCTTTTTTCCTTCCCCCATTTGTCTTTCCCCCTTTCCATTGCCCTCTTCCCTTATCTTCCCTTTAGCAACTTCTGTGGCAAGACCTGTAAGTCTGGCTAAATCTTCTCTTTCTTTCCTCTTGTCTTGAGTTGTTGATGAGCCCTGAAATAGCTCAGAGGTGGGTGGAAAGTTGAGCAAAAGCTTCTGTAGATAACTACCTAGGGAGGCTCTAACCTTGAATAATTGGGCCAGTACTCTGTTTTTGTTCCAGTGTTTATTAATGAAGCTTGGCTTGAAGGTTCTTCCTCACTCTTGGGAAGCTGACTGAATGGCCCTCTGCTTGTTTTTGTTTTGTTTAACTATTAGGTGTTACTTAAAATAATTGGCTAAAATGAAAGGTCATAACTTCAGTGTTTCCTTTAAATCAGATTACTGCATCTGCCGTTATCCCTGACTAACTTGAAGTTGAAGGCTTTGTGGCTGTCTGACAACCAATCCCAGCCCCTGCTTACGTTCCAGACAGACACAGATCATGAAACGGGAGAAAAGATTCTAACTTGTGTTTTGCTTCCTCAACTGCCTTCTGAACCTAGTTGCCAAGGTAAATATAATTTAAGCATCATTTCCACATTGTCACAGGACTGAGTAAGATGTGAGAGGTTAACAGGATGAACTCCCTGCTTCATCCTGTAGTTCTCTTCCTACATCCAGGTCTAGTGGCGTGTATAACCTCAGGTGTTCTGGATGAGTCCCACCTTCCCTGAAGTACGTTACTTACCTGCCTGCTAATGCTTGAAAATTTTTAAATGGAGGACAAAGACTTTCATTCCAGTATTAGATATGAAGTTTAAAAAAAAATGTGACTCTCCCTAGGAGATACTGCTTGGTGATAAATTAACCCTAGAACAGGTTTTGGTAGGGGAAACCTTAAGAGTACTGAGCCCAGAAGAGGACTAAGAGGGAATAAATACTTTAAAGGGAACTGGAACCTCCCAGAGCCTTCTTTTTTTTTTTTTTAATTACATTTTTGTATAGGGCCTACTTTACCTCTGTCAGGTTAGTTATATTGGCTCCTTACAAATAGGGGAATTGGGAGCTATGACACTTGTCTATAATCTCGGCTACCGAATACTGAGGCTGGTGGGTTGCTTGAACTTGTTAGTTCTGAGCTGCAGTGGGCAAAGCCAGTTACCTCCAGCTCCAGTATGGTGACCCTCTGGATGCCTAAAGAGGGGGAAATTGGTCCAGGTCAGAAGCAGCACAAGTCGAAGCTCATGGGCCAATAAATGGCTGTCGTTCTTTCAGCCTGGCAAAACAGGGAGACCCGATCTCAGACGACAGCAACAGCAACGTAAGGGAAAGAAATTAGATAGTATATATCCTGAAAGAAAGGCTTAATATCTGATATCCATGTAGTTATCCTAAGAGATTTTACTGAGTTAACACTCAACTTTGGAGTTCCTAAAAAAGGATTCTATGTGTAGTTAAGGTATTTCGGTGGTGTGACATTAAGTACAGAATTGAGTGAACATATGAAAGATTATGGATTATTTGGTATCCTAGACTTGGAGACAGTGTGGTACAACACAAAGGATTTGGTTGCAATTCTTGACTCTGCTCCATATTACCTGTACCATATTACCTCTGTACCATATTACCTGTACTTACCTTTGGCAAGTCACTTATTATCTATGGGCCTCAGTTTTCTCATCTGTAAAATGAAACCATCCAATGGTGATCTCAAAGGTCTCTTCTTCCTCTAATGGTCCGATGAGTCAGAATCTCATTTTTAGCTATAACACTTCATGGCCATCTGTCCTTGAGCAAGTTAATTAACCTCTTAGTTTCCTTATCTTTAACATGGGGATAAAGAGAGAACTTGAAATATGAAAGTCCCAGTGTTTTTGTGAGAAAATCTTTTTTTTAATTATAAAGGACCATATGGATATGGTATAATTCTAAGAGTGAGAGTGCCTGTTAAATTAGTCTTATTTTCTAATGATAACTGAACAGTTGAGAAGGTGCTCTGTCCTCCTTTCAGGAGTTATTTGCCATTTCAGTTAATGTTTTGAAACCTGTTTTCCTTTACACTGGTTAGCCTTTTGAGTTCAGTCCAATGAGGAATGTAATGAATGTGTGGAAGGCAGTGACCACCTGAGTTGGAAAGCTTTTGGTTTAATGTGCTTTTTTGTCATCCCTGCAGAGAACTTGCCCCGCTGTGGGGCACTGGAAAGCTTAGTCAATGAAATGTCAGATGAAACGTGGAATGAACGGGCAGTCAACAGAGTCAGTGCAATCCGATTTTTAGAAGACGAAAGAGATGAAGAGGATAATGAAATGGTATGTTGTTCAAATGAACAATATCCTTTGGTACATGTGGAAGTTCAAAGCTGTTTCCTTTGTTTTAAAATATCTTTCATCTTTGGGGCTTGGCAGTCATTTTTAGGGAACAGGTACAGTCTACCACTTTTTCATGATGTATTTTGATTTTTCTGTTCTCAACACTTCAGTGCTGGTTTGTAAAGTGGTAAATAAAGCTGAGCATTCTATTAAAAAAGGATTTCTGGTTATTATTTATTTTTAATTTATATTTTTTACTTATTTCATCCTACATAGCAGTTCCTTCTGCTCTTTTCTTAGAACCATTTGGGTTTTGATTTCCCTGGAGCTCATAATTTGTTGGTTTCCCCTAGAGCTCCCAACAAATTATGAGCCCTTCTTAATGTTCTCCCTGTAGCCTAGACCATCTTGAATGAGTGCAGTCTTATTCCATTAATCTTACCTCCTGTTGTGCCAAGTGCCTCTCCCTCCTTTCTGTGACAAATTTGCCTTGGCTGTAGTGTGGAGTGTTCATAATTATGGTGGAATTGGCACCTTATTAACTACTCAGTAAAATAAATAAATTGCATTGGAAAGCTCCTGTTACCTATATTTGTGCTATCTCAATGAAGTCACCATTTAAGAGTTGTTAGCAATATGTGAAGTCTGCCCTGCTGCACGGAAAGGCTTTGCTGCTTCATTGTCTTTTGCTCAATCAGGTTTGAAGGAACAGTGTTGTGAGGGAGGGAAGGGGAAGGCAAGGGGAAGAGAATAAGCATTATTATATATAACACCTACTATGTGGTAGATAATTTGTTAAGTGCTTTACAAGTATTGTCCCATGGGGCAGCTAGGTGGCACAATGGATAGAGCACTGGCCCTGAAGTCAGGAGCACCTGAGTTCAAATCTGGCCTCAGACCAAACACTTGACACTTACTAGCTGTGTGACCCTGGGCAAGTCACTTAACCCCAATTGCCTTAAAAAAGCAAAAACAGAAAAACCAAATATTGTCTTATTTGATCTTCTCAACAACCCCTCAGAGTAGGTGCTATAATTATCATCCCCTTTTTACAGTTGAGGAAACTGAGGTAGACAGTGGTTAAATGACTTGCCCAAGATCACATAGCTAGTGTCTGAGGCTGGATTTAAACCCAGGTCTTCCTAACTCCAGGCCCCTTGCTGTCTCTACTGTACCACCTAGCTGCCTTTGAGGACTTAGAACCCGTAGGTGGCGAGTGACAGTTTTTGAGTTCTTTTTGTGGGTGCTTGCTCATGTTCTTTATTATAAAATGAAGATCATAAATTCAGGAAGAAAAGACATGGGTTAATGACTAATTAATGATGAAGTGAGATAACAGCCAAAAGAAAATAATTCATTAATGTGTTATCTTTATCTTACGATTGTCTGGGTTAGTAATTGTTTTATTAATGGCATCTCCTTTTCCAATAGCCCTTGTACAGTGTTACTTAAACCTCCTCTGACTATTTAGAGGCATTACCTCATAGTCGATAAGGAACTAGCCTTGAGGCCAAGATGACCTGAGTTCAAGTCCCATCTCTGACATGTACTGGCTGTGTGAGTCAGGCCAAATCACTTAACCTCTCCATGATGGAGAGAACTCTCTAAAAGTTGCAAAGAGAAGTGCTGGCCCGGCTTGATAGGAGGAAGAGTATCCTTGTACAGGAATCCTCATATCAATGAAATTACGGGTCCGATCCCTATCTTCCTGGCTGTTACTCCCAGCTTCCAGGAAATGTCCTTTAAAGGTCATTGCTGCTGTTGTTATTTGAGCTAAAAAAAGCTATGTTAAAATGTTATTTCAAATATCCGTATAGAAATAATCCATTTCTCATAACCTCTTGTATAATTTTTAGTTCTGTGGCCTTATTCATATAATCTTTCTTGATAGGTGACGAAGTAGATAGAGTACTGGGACTGAAGTCAGGAAGATTCATTTTCCTGAGTTCAAATGTGGCCTCAGATACTTACTAGTGGTGTGACCCTGGGCAAGTCACTTAATCCTATTTGCTGCAGTTTCCTGATCTGTCAAATGAGTCAGAGAAGGAAATGGCAAACTACTCCAATATTGTTGCCAGGAAAACCCCAAACGAGGTCACAAACCGTCTGACATGACTGAATGACTGAATGACAGTATATAAGATTGTTTCATAGATATAAACAATTCCTCAGTCTAAGTAATCCAGCACACTCTTAATTTGAGTCTGAAAAAAAATTACAGTTGACAGTGTAAAAAATGAATTCCTCTTAAAAGTCTTAAGGATGAGAGGTCAAACCCCATAAAGTACCATAATTTTAAATTAGGAGTGTTTCCTCTCCTAAATAAGTCTTTTCTCACCCTTCTTCTCGTTCCCCCATTCAGTCAATGATTTCACAGAGAAAACTTTTCTCTAGTTTTAAAAATTTGTTCAGCACATACATCTGAGCACCCACTCTATTAGTTATTCTAGACCACTTGGTTTTTCTTCTCCCTCACTAGTTATTTTTTAACATCTCTTTTGTTCTCTCAGCAAACTTTTCTTAACTGACGGTCCACCTTCCTAATGTTGATCTTCCATTAATCATCAGAACGTTGTTGATGATAAATGCAAAAAGGTGAAGGGGGTGGGGCTATACTTCTGTTCATTCTTAAGTAGTATTCTCTAAGGAGGTGATACTTGATATTTTATAAAAAGTTACTATATCTTTTGTTTTATATCACCTAGATTTCTTTTGTCTCCCTTCCCACTCTTAGGAAGTTACCTATTGTAACAAATGATTAAAAAGGAGGGGAAAAAAAGGTCAGCAAAATTAGCTAGCACTTAGAAAGAGTGTGGTATCTTATGCAATGTTCCATGTCCATAGACCTCCTCTTCCTCTGCAAAGAAGGCTAGGAGGTGAGGTGCCTTTCATACCTCTTCCTTAAGGCCAAACTTTGCCAATATAATTTCACAAATGTTCAGTTTTGATTATTTTGTCGTTCTTTTGATTTCTTTTTTTACAATATTTAAATGCAAATGTCTTAAAAATGTGCTTTTTTTTTTTTAAAGAAAACGAAATAAAGACAAAAACACTCCCTCTGCTGTTTGTTTTTTAGAGAACACTCCTAAGGCGAGCTACTCCACACCCAGGAGAGTTAAAGAGTATGAAAAAGACAGTGGAGAATTTACGGAATGATATGAATGCTGCTAAAGGACTGGATTCGAACAAAAATGAGGTCAATAATACCTTTGACAGAGTGACCACTTCTGTGTAGAGCTTCACCTCCAAGTTTTTACCTCCTGTGTCTTCCCCTGCTGTTGAAATGGTCCTGTCTTCCGAGGAATTCATCCAGCCCTTTGTCTTAACCAGATCCTGACCCATCATCTCCTGGTACCGCCTGTTGGACGGTGCTGCTGTCTCGAAGGAAGTGCCTTATACTAACTAGTTGTGGCACCAGTAATCTCCAGATAATATATTTTTAATGGATTTTTGGTCACTTTTAATGAGTAGAGTACACTACTGTACAACTTCACTTGTCATTGTCCTATATTGGGAGAAGAAGGGATTTTCATCCTCTCCCCTCCAGTGCTGGGATATTCTAGACCCAGGTACACTTGGACCTACTGATGAGAGATATAGTTTTATGTGAAAAAAAAAACTTTTTTAAACATTTTTTGGCAGCTCAGATGGTGTAAATTTTAAAATTTTGTATAGGCATTTCATAAGAAAATTATGTTTTTTTTGTTGTTGTTGTTTTATCTAGAAAACGGTACATACTTTACTATTTGTTGGGGAAAAAGACAGTCCTGAAGTATTCATTTGTATTTGTAACACCCAGTTGTGCCTTACTGTGTGTCCTGTCGTATGTCAGACTAGTCCTAAACAATGGCATCCCTAGGCAGTGAGATTAGGCTAGGGGGATGTGCTTTTTTAGCCACGTGTGTCTTAAATTAGCAATCAACTTGGGTTATTGTTGTTGTTTTTTTTAAATCAACAGGAGGGTAGGGAACTATCAAGAGGGACTCTTGAATTGTACATGATATCTGTTTGATTGCCTGAGAGATGAACCCACAGGACTAAGCTTCTTCTCTATGATTACTTACACTTTAAAATTTTACATGAAGACAGTGTCTTAATTGTTCTAATGCAGTGGGTTTGCTCCCACTGGTGAAGTTTGTACCATTTGTGAAAAAGAGAATCAAACAGGAAGCACAGTAGGAAACTGGTTCAGAGTAGGGAGAACAAGTAAATGTACCACAGAGGAAAGTATGATGCTATTGAAAATGGCGTTAGAGGTTTTATATCTAGATATAAAACCATAATAAAGCAGAAACCTTATAAATATATAAGAGCAACATTGGGTCATTATGAGTGCAATTTAATTTGAAAATTGAGTTTGTTGAGAAGGGTAACAAAATGCTACAAAAGATGTTGAATAAAATAGCCGGTTGTGTTTTGAGGCAGGCAGAGGTAGGGAAGGTGTGTGTGTGTGTGTGTGTGTGTGTGTGTGTGCGTGCATGTTTGTATGTGTGTGTATATGTGTGTATGCTTTTTTTGTCAGTTATTTTCTACAATAGGTGTAAAGGTGATGAATATTTTGGCCGCAACAATTGTAAAATGGCTTATAACAAGAGGTTGTGATATACATCATTCACCTTGATGAAATCATAGCCTTTTGGAAGTATTGAAGGGTGTGTTATTTTGGGGGGATGGGCAAATAATATGGACTAAAATTAAGGTGAAAATGAATGTTGCAAATTGCTAAAAGAGGTCAGTGGAATCAAATCATCTCACTAATGAAGTCAACTCACCCTGGACAATGACACCCATCTTGTGTGAATGTATCAAGGAGTGTTTTTTAGTGGGTGGCAGTTTTCTCACAGAACATTTATTTGGTTTGTTCTTATAAAAAGCCATTTTCACTACCTAAGGTGCATGTGGTTTGGAGTTAGGCACCTTTGGGAGTTGTATTATTACTCTCAGGCAGTCAGGTCAGCATTTAATGCTCACATTAATACACAGTCTCTGGGTGGTAGGGGCATGTGACTTCAGCTTTCTATTGGACTAACTGACCCATGTGGATTCTAATCTTGGATTCTTTAACAATCTTGTTCCAACTAATCAGATGAAATAATAATTTTCCTTTACCATAAATTTCCTTATTATTTAATCTGCCTTTATAAAGGTCTTTAAAAAAAACAACTAGGTATTTATTGAATTTCATGTACTCTGGCAAAGAAGTTATAGGCCATTTCTGCACCCCATTCTTGGAAAAGGTTTGGTGTGTCTATAGTGCTTTGTACAATGTCATCCTCTACTTTTTTCCACTTTTGCTTCCAGTGGATGAATAGAAATTATTGGTCAGATGCAAGTGGACAGTTTGTATTTTGGTGTATGTGGTTTAAAATTTGTAAGAATGATATCATGAGCATGTTGTTTTTCATCAGCTGATCAATTTATTTAAAAAGAAAAATCATTTTGATTCCAAAGCTATTTTGTTTGTTTTGTTTTTTAATAAAAAACCTTCTACTCTTTACTACTCATTGAGTCATGGCTACAGTAGAATGGAGAAGGTTAAGATCCTTTTGTTGTTTATATTTAAACTTTTCAGACACTTTTATGTTGTACTATCTTCTGTCCTGCTGGGAGGGAAAAGGCCAGATCTACAAAGGTAAAAATTTAGACAGTGACTGTCTATAGCGTGAGAAGCTGAAAGCCCTTGGAGCAATTGAAAAGAAAAATTAAAATAGAATATGCAGTAGTCAACAAGGCAAGATTATAAGGAAAATATTCTTCCTAAGATGACATAGAGTAGATAGTGAATCTTTAAAGATTTAAGGCAGGATTGAGAGCTGGTGACCTCTTATTGGCTTTGACTAGAATGCCAAAGATTCCTAACCTCTTGTTAGTTCAGACTGTTATGTAATAGTTTCAATGGCCTTATTCTGTCTCTTTAGCATTTCCTGCAGGAAGAGGAAGAGCAATAATGTGTGGCTTAAAATGCTTCCTGGTTTTGTGTAGGTGAAAGGTGTGAGCAACCAGTAAAGAGGCTAGCTTTGCACTATTTGTTCACCCTTCTTATCATTATCTCCCATTTACATAGAAGGAAATGGCACCCTCTTCCCAACCAAACAAACCATCTAAGGAAGTATGACTATACACATTAGAGTGAATGTTCTTAACCTATTTGGGGGGACGTCATGTATCCTTTTGGCATTTCAATAAAACTTGTAAATCACTTCTCACGGTGATCTTAGTGCATAAAATAAAATATTTAGGATTATAAACAAAACCAATTACATTTAAATATAGCTATCAAAATATTTTTTTTAAGTTCACAGAATCTAGTGTAAGAACCCATGCATTAGATGGTAGAGTAAGTAAAAATTGTTAGTGGAAGCGGGGCCAGGAAAGAGAACTGTAAGCCAATGACACATTTGCCCTAGACACATACTGTCTAATTGTTTTCATACTGGAAACTTCAGAGGCATGGGCTATATAACTCTAACCTTTTCACTTTGTCAGGTTCATTCTGTCAGGAGGCTTGCTAACTGTCTTCAAGGTAAAATATTATAAATGGAAGTTTGCCCACTAATCTTGTGCAGCAATCCTTCTCCCATCTCTTGTGAAATCTACCACACCTAAGAAAAAAACTTCATAATCTATCACACCTAAGAAAAAAAAAACTTCATAAAGAAAGAGATGGTAAAAATATCTGGAACTAACAGGAAGTTCTCTGAACAAGCAAATCTCAGCCTTGTTCCAGAGACTGACACTCCTGCTATGGGAAAAGTTTGTGACAAATATGGGGGCTGGTTGTGCAACAAATTAATAATGAAGGGCTCTGTATTGTGTAGATGCTCATTAGTAGAAGGAAAGAGTGTCTGTAATCTCTGCAAATTGAGAGGTGATTGCCATGAGGAATTCAAAATCTCCATTCAACCATTGGTATTGGTCAATTTTTACAAAAGATGTTCTCAGTGAAGCCAAATTGGCAAGTTGGGTTCTTACCTTCCTTTTTTTTTTTTTTTTTTTTTGATTCTGGGAAAAGCTGAAGGAAGCAAAAAAAAAAAAAAGACTGAAAAAGACTGCTGTGCTAGAAAAAGTAATGGCCTGGATTAGCCATAAAAACTAATAACCAAATGCTAAATGATTTAGAATGTAAATAATGAGCTGTAGCTTAGGATGCTTATTTGTTTTGGGAAGTGTCTGGTAAACTTGGAACTGATCTGTCCAAGTAGGCTGACATGCTCTTGGTCCCCTCCCCTTGCTTCCTGAACATTATACTCTCAAGGAATGTAGGTTATAGAATAGCCTAGCCAAAACATAAACAGGAAGCTATAAAACCTGCTGTTACACATTCTAAAGATAGGGATAGGAACTGGGCCTGTGATTTCAGTATTATTAAAAAACTTCCAGATGAGGAAATAAGCTCAATGCAAGTCAGCACCTCTTCCACTTCTAGTCATAGAGAGTTACCTAAATCACTCAGAAGCTATGTGACTTGCCCAGGATCATACAGTTAGGCTGTGTCAGAAGTTGAAATTGAACTGGCCTTCCTGAGTTCCATTCAGTCAATAGACATTTATTAAATGCCTACTATTCTTTAGACACTGTGTTAAGTGCTGAGGATACAAAAAAAGGCAAAAGACAGTCCCTAACCTTAAGCATCTCACAAGCTAAGGGGAAAAACAATACAGAAAGAAGCTGAAAAGGGAGAGACAGTGGGGAGGAGAAGAAGGAGGATGCCCAGCCCAGAAGCAAGATAAAAAGTCCTGCAGTCAGGAGGGAAATGAATTGGCTACTCTGGGCACCCTTCTTAAGTGGAATAAGCTAGGAGGAGCTCTCCAATCTGAGGGAGGAAGGGGCCTTTGGGGCAAAAGGTACTGAGGAGGGTATGAGTTTCAGAACTGATATATAATGAGTATGATCAGTATGATGATCAGTATGATGTAGAACATCACAGTTCCCAAACTAACCTCTTATGGGCTATGTAATGTTCTGAGTGATCTGTGCCCTTGAGCTCATAATTGATGACCTTTGCTATAGGTAAAAGTGATATTTCATAGAATCAGGACAGAATTTGCTGTAGGGGAGTAGTAGTAATAAGCTAGTATTTATATACTGTTTTAAGGTTTGCAAAGTGTTTTACAAGTATTATTGTGTTAACAATCCTAAGAATAGGTGGTATTATTATTATTAGTGATATTTTACTAATGAAACTGAGGCTTGGGGAAGTTAAGCAACTGACCAGAGTTACACAGCTAGTAAGTAAGTGTTCAGGTCTTCCTGACTCTAGATCCAGTGCTCTACCCACTGGCCACTTAGCTGCCTAACTAAAAAAGAGGGGTTGGGTCAACCTTTTAGGTAATTTTGATTACATTTTTGAGCAAATACAATCAACTATAGTTGATAGCCCTCCAAACTTCCTCCTCCATCTTTATTGATTTTCTTCTTCCTTCTGGAGCCCAAAGCTATGTTGGAAAGAGAAGAGACGTAGGGAAGTAAGAAGGCAGTACCATTCCCATTCTGTCTCCTAGACTTTGCTACTTCTTCACAAGGTGAAAACTCATGAGGCAGTATTTAAGTGAAGACTGAATTTTTTTTCTTTGACATTAAGATATTAATTATATTTTACTTTCCATCTAATTTTTTCCCATCACATTTCTCCCCATTTCTTTGATTTTTGTGCCTTGGTATGATCACATGATGGAAAGAAAGGGAGCAATAGGTGGTCTTGAGGGAAGAGAGCATGATTTGATCATCTCACTTCCCTATATTTTTCTTCTGGTAATATCTTTTTTCCCCTACATAAGATTAACCAAATTGTTTTGCTTTTAATTTCTTATCTATCATTTTATTTTCCCCTCCCTTGTCTTATTCTTTCTTTGAAAGCTTTCATTGCTTTGGGATCTGTTCCAGGAAGGACCCAAAGGTACAAGAGAAGCTGGCTAAAAGCCAATTTCATTTAGGTTTTATTTGGGAGAAAAGTATTGAGGAACAACCACTCACTCCATCTCACATGAATAGTTTTTTAAATTCTATTTATTTATTTATTAAAAGTAGACAACTGACTGAAAAAGGAAACTGAATAAAATAACCTGATCTAATAGCTTTTGTTTCACATAGGCTACATTGTGCACTTGGAGCTCAGCTTTGGGATTAGGCAATGAGCCAGGAGTGTCATGTAATTCTAAACTAAGAGATTGGGGCAGTGACCAAGACGCCCACGGAAGGCCTTTTGCCAAAAGCCCTTGAGTTCTGCTGGGCAAGAATCTGATTAGGCTAATGCCAGAAGCTGCTTTCTTTGGATGCCTCAGCATTTCTTTCTAAACTCATAATGGTAACAGACTGTCCTCTCAATACAAAGGCTGTCTTACTGATTCAGTCAAGAGGGCATGCATTTTGAGTTGGTTTTTAGAGTTGTAGGATTTCTGTTGATCTATCCCTTACACTCTTGCCTAATTGGTCGCTGTGCCTGGAAGCTCACATATGTGAGATGGCAGGCCTAGGTTAGGGCCATGGTCTTATAGGACTAACGAAACCTCCATCCCCCATTCCAGTAAAGGAATACTAAATTGTTTGGTGATAAAAATTCTGAGAATGTTCCTAGGATCCCTTTATTGCTATTCAGTTGTGTCCAACTCAGTGATCCCATTCAGAGTTTTCTTGGCAAAGGTACTGAAGTGGTTTGCCATTTCCTTCTCCAGCTCATTATACAGATGAGGAAACTGAAGTAAACAGGGTTAAGTGGCTTGCCCAGGATCACACAGCTAGTAAGTATCAGAGTTCAGATTCAGACTTAGAAGATGAGTCTTCCTAACTCTAGGCCTGGCACTCTATCCATTGCGCCACCTAGCTGTCATATTAAACAGTGTGAAATTCAAGAGTTGAGAATGAAAATTATTCCTCATTAGTGAGCCAGAATTCATTTGTATATATTTCAGCATTAATTAAAATGACAGTTTAATCTGGTAAATGAGTTCCCAGAAATAGTCCCAAGGTGGTTGGTAATAATGTTATTGGTTAGTCCCAAGATGGTTAGTAAGAGTTAATAAGTTGTTGGTTAACATAAGGGGATTGTGAATGATTTCTTTTTAAATCTCTCTACCTGACACCATAATGTAGTGGAAAGAAGGGCGAAACTCAGAACTAGAAAACCTGAATACAAGTCCTAGCTTCACAGTTCACTAGTTGTGTGATGTTGTGTAAACCAAATAAACTCTTTGGGCCTGTTTTCTTGTCTGAACATTGAATAGTCCTTATACTACTACTCCCACAGGGTCTTTATGAGGATTGAATGAGATGATGTGGATTAAGCACAGTTCCTTTGTGACCCTGTGGACTCTACTGTCCATGGAGTTTTCTTGGCAAAGATATTGGAATGGTTTGTCATTTCCTTCTCCAGTGGATTAAGGCAAAGAGAGGTTAAGTGACTTGCCCAGGGTCACACAGCTAATAATTGTCTGAGGCTGAATTTGAACTCAGATCTTCCTGACTTGAAGC